AAAAAAAAAATGTGGTAAACTACGAGATTTGGCTCAGACAGACCGTTTTTGCAACGCTGCAGGGTGGGCAGCCAAGTGTGCCGCTAGGGATCATGCTCCGACTGTGCAACAAACGAAGATAGGAACGGGAAATCCTCCAAAATTCATGGTGGAAGTGCGCAATAACTGTCCGATGTGCCCGATTATTAACGTCCATTTGAAGTGTGGGAACTTTCCTCAAGCTCTAGTCAATCCGAGGCTACTCAAAGTTGTTGCCTTCGATGATTGCGTCGTCAACGGAGCGTTGCCATTGCAGCCTCTCCAAAAGCTCTCCTTCAACTATACTCACAGCAAGTACTTGTTGCGCCCCAGCATTTGGTACTTCCAGTGCGAGTAAAATAATCAGACCATGCTGCTGTTTCTGCCCAGCTAGCTTACAGCATTGCATTGGACTTTGTCTACAAATATAGTTTTCAAGTCCTTTATTTTATTTTATTTTCTTCAAGATGATTCACTGATCCATCAGTTGACCAAAATGCAAACAGAAATATGATTTCTATTTGTGAGTGTGAACAGCTAGCTATTGTCCTTAAAATCATAAAACAGGCCCTAAAAGGCAAATACGTCACGTTTTAGCTATTTAGTATTAAAAAGCCGCGACGCTTAATAACATGACAAACATGTTCTATGTTTTTAGTACGCTACTGAGTTTCAATCTGAAGAAGAATATCCCTTAAAACCTAACTGGCATTTATTTCATAGAAAATGGCAAAAGCAATTGCAATAATAGTGAACTGGTCAAGAACATTGAAAAGGTAGATTTCCTGTTTTTCTTTTTTAAATGAATTATAGATAGATTATAGATTTTCTTGGGTCTGTCCTCTAAGGCGTCTTTATGTTTGATAGCAAGCATAGAACCATTTTGAATATATATTTATATCTACGAAAATGATTTTTTTAGTGTTTATTCTTTCCTTTTGAGATGCAATGTTACTAAATAGAAGATCCACTTTTATCTCAAATTTTGATGACAATTGGTTGTGACATAATTAATCCCTAGTAATAGCGTACAGGTCCCAAAGTGAAAACCGAAAGTGCGCTAGTAAATTAAT